CTTTTAGGGAGCAGATAAATTAATCTTAGGAGCCTGACAATAAATTTCCCACAAAAAAGAAGAATGAGGTTATATCCATACATTTTTAGGAGCAGTACACAGTGGAAAGATTTTAGAACCACGTCTGAGTCAAATCTGGTTCTCCAGCTGCACAATCTTGGGCAGATTATCTCTCTTAATTTCCTCATCTGTTAGACAAAAATACACATGACAGGAGTTCTGAGAGGTTTTATTGAGGGAGCTCTAATTTCCAACATTCTCCCCATTTTTCCTTACCTAAATCCCTTTCCTTCAGATCAAAGAATAGAAAACCCTGGGTGAGGAGGGTTAAGGAGAAGCCCTCCACTAGCTATCAAGCTTAATTGTCCTAATCTTTCTTAGGCTCTGTAATATCAGGGCACAGAGAAAAGAATTCCTGGCTACTTTATCAGTCTCCAGGAAGGAGGGCTGGAGCCAACAGGCAATGAATCCCATTGGTTCACTTACAGAAAGCTGCAACTCATTTAAATGATTGGATCTTTTCAAGAAACTGAAACAACTTCAATGCCTGAGAATGGTTTGCTTGGATTGTGAGACATAATACCCTGATGCACATCTGCATAAGGGAATTATACATTGAAGAATATTAAATGACATTGGGAAATGCTCTTAATAAATTAAGTAAAAAAATACTGCCACAACAGTATCTATTCTATGATTCTAACACTTTTAAAATAACTGATTTGGGGGCAAAATAGTAGGATATACAAAGTGTTAAAAACAAATTCAGAATGGTAAGTTATGAGTTTTGGAAATTTTTTCTTTTCTAAACCTTATAAGTATTTTTAAATATAAAGATACAACAAATATGATACAACATTTAAAAAATAACTCCACAGAGCAGAAATTATTTTTACTACCACAATGCTTTAAAGAAAGCATTTAAAGAAATGTGGGGTTTTGGACAGTGGGGTGAATTTGTAAAAGAGAAAAGTGCCTCTCTTGAGTTTCTCAAGTTTCTTTTTCTCTTGTCCTTGTCACAATCTGAAGTGAGCACAAGAGGCTCACTCGGTCTTGAGACTTACAGTAGGGGCATTGCACATAGTTCAGACTTCCCAGTACCAGAGGCTCCTGGCCCTGCCAATAGGTTTGTATCCCCCTCAACATTCATTTCGTGCCAGTCTCTTCCCTCGGGAGCCGCAAGATAGCTGGGGAAATCCCTGTCCTACACCTTCTGCAGGAGTCCTACCTGGCAGAATCATCACTGAACAGGGAGCAGGAAAGAAAGAGAAGCACAAAGCCAACCTTTCCTGAGTTCTTACATGAAGAACCCTTCTAAGTAGTCAAAACAGTTTTATGTTTACCATTATCATGATCTTGAAGAATCACAACTACTATTTGTTAAATCTTTCCATGTGCCAGGCACAACACTACCTTATTCCATCCAATTTCCACATGGGCCATTTAGTCACTATCTCTTATTCCACAGATAAAGACACCAAGTCTGAGGGCAAGGAATTCGTCTAAGTTCCCAGAGCTAGAAAGTGGCAGATGTAGATGCTTCAGAGATTGCCAAGCTGTTTCAAAATTGCCTCCATTTTTCTTCACTACTCTGCAAGGTAAATGAAAATTCTGTTTTCATGTTTGAAACAAAAAGATAAATGGTTTTAAAGTCCCATCTGAGAGTTTGCAGATCTGATCTGTAAGTTTCCAGTTTTTTAAAGGGTGTCCTGTACTTAGTAGGTCAATAGTAGGGGCCAGACATGGGCCTATTATGCTAGATTATGGGCGGCAGATTTCAGTCTGACTGTGAAAAGGGTAGAGTGTAGTTGGAGACTAGATACTGTCAGTGAACAACCAGCTCCTGGTGTGAAGATAAGGAGATTAATCCTATACGTAGGACATAGGACTAGCTAACTCTGGAGTTTGCTGGAAGGAGGGAGCCAATGATTCTTCCAGACTAGCACACAGCAAAAGAGCCTAAGTCAGTGGACAGTGTTTTAATGTATGGTGGACCAGCTCAGCCCCAGCTGGAAAAAGCTAGAGTCTCTGTAATACCCGTGAAAACATTTTGACCAGGTACATACGCTATCACAAAATAGTACTTTATTCAAGTCATTAAGGAGACAATCTGCTACTGATCCCTGAAGTATAATATGGGTTAACATGGCTTTTTTCAATATACATTATGACAAAAAGAGACAACATGGCTACAATTAATTTATTGCTTTACATTTCTTGTTTGGATGAAAGTGAGAATACATCAAAGTTGTCTGATGACACCAAGTTATTTTCATATTATCTATATTACTTCTGCATGAGCATTGAATTCCTCATGATTAATCTTTATAGAAGTTAATACTAAAATAATTGATTTAAAACAAATACACTGCTTTTGGAGGGGGGAGGCAGCAGCAGGAGGAAGTATTTTCCCAGCATTTTGAATTAGCAACTTTAGGTCCTTGTGCCAGCTCTGCTCCCAACCAAGTAATTCTGAGCACAAATCACTTAAGTGTGGGACCCCAGCCTGGGATTAAGGGAATGATGAGCTCTGGTCTCCTCAATGTCTACCTGTACAATGAGGGGCTAGAGTATAAATTCTAAAGCCTGATCAAGTAGTAAGTTTTTATAAGTCTAATATCCTTTGGAGTTTATCTTGGCCTTAAATGGATTTACAATCATCTTTGTGAGCCTTGTTCTCATTTTTAAAGTTCATAAGGACCAGGCACAGTGACTCAGACCTATGATCTCAGCACTTTGAGAGGCTGAGGTGGTAAGATTATTTGAAGCCACAAGTTTGAGCCAGCCTGGGCAACATAATGAGACTCTGTCTCTACCAAAAAATTAAAAGATTAGCTAGATGTGGTAACATGTACCTGCAGTCCCAGCTACTAGGGAGGCTGAGGAGGGAAGACCACTTGAGCCTCAGGAGTCTGAAGTCTGGGAGCTATGATTATGCCACTGCACTCCAGCCTGGGCAACAGAGTGATATTCTATGTCTAAAACTAAAAAAATAAAAAAGTTCATAAGTGAGACAGCTCATCAAACAGTCCTGCCTAGGACAATAGTGACTCCTGAAATTGTTAGCTTCTGGGCAAATTTTGTTTTACAAAGACTGTGCCTGCTCCTGAGTAAAATTTTAATTCCTCCTCAACAGAAGCACTGACAAAATTGCTTCCATCTTATAATCACGATAACTTATTCATAAGCTACATATTCTTGCAAATGATTGCAAAAGTCAGGCTATTTTTTTATATAAGCTACCCCATGTGTATCTTTTTAATGGCAGTAAAACTAAATTCAGTGAGTAGGTGCCCACAAGTCCAGAATAAGTTTCCCTAAATGTCAAATGTCATCACATACTGCCTTTGTGAATGGCTGTCTTTATTCGCCAGTGTACGGATGGTGGGCACTCCAAATAGGAAGGACGCTTTATTACACTGCAGTAGAATAGTTTTCTCCTGATTTTGTCCTGAGAGTCAATGCTGAAGGCTGCCCCCTCCAGCCGTCCTAACCTGAACTGTGTCCAAGTTAAATTTTAACTATCACTAGATGTGACCTGTCACCTGCTGAGACCTATCATACCCCAGATTTGTGTTCTGCCAGAAGTAATGTTCTTAGAGTTCCCAGGAGGAATACATGTTCTAAGATGGATAAATGAGATATAGAACTAGATACAAGCAACTAGGTATTTCTTTTTTTTTTTTTTTTTTTAGACCATCTCATTTTGTTCCCCCATAGAGTGCAATGATGTCACAGCTCACGGCAACCTCAAACTCTTGGGCTGAAGAGGCCCCTAGCTGAGACTACTGGCACCCCCAGAACACCAGGGTCTCACTCTGGCTCAGGCTGGTCTCGAACTCCTGAGCTCAAGCAATCCACCTGCCTCAGCCTCCCAGAGTGCTGGGATTACAGGCCTGAGCCATCACGCCCGGCAAACAACTACGTCTTTATGAGTCCGATATATTAATGTGTCGCAGGGTTTAAAACGTGAAAAGTATCTTTTCAAGCCTATGTACAATTATGGTGACGACCTACCTGCTTGCCAGTCACAAACCTACTGCACTTGTCATGAAGAAGAAACAGGAAAAACTCAGAGGTCTAAAAAATCAATAAGGGAATTCCCCACATATTCAGACACACATACCACTCCTTATCTTTCTTGCCCACACATAAGTTCTGACATATGCTTCAAAACATAGTGCGGTTGCTCAAGCCTGCTTAGAAGCTTTATGGAGGCTTGTGCGAGGTTTCGGGTATTTTTAAAGGTTTCTTCGGTTCTGTACTTTCTGCCTCCAAATTTATAATTCTCCTCCAACTCCATCCTCCCAGCCTCTGCGCTGTAAGCTTTTGGTGCATTCCATTCACCGCTTTTCTTCCCCACCTACGATCCGGTTGGGAAATCGCCAAAAGGGAAATCCCCATAAAAGCAGTGAAAGTAAAGACCTTAGAGTTTATAAATTGGGCACGTTAAAGGCTTTCGTTTTAATCACGATTTAAGATTTAAAAGCACAAGTATCTGTGCAAAGGGAACTTTCTTCTGTGAGGATGGTCCGGCTTCATCCCCAGGCTTCAATTCCTAAACTTCTCAGGAATAAAAGAACGTCACCTCATCTCTCCCAAGATTCCGCGCCGACACTGCTCACCAGCAGCTTTTTCCCCGTATGAATCCAATCGTTTTCTAGAATCTCAAACCACCACGGAGCTCCCCGGGTCTGAGGTTTTTTTTGCGACCCCAGAGACGCTGCAGGGTTTGCTCTGTACTTCCCTAGGCCCAAGCCCACTCACCGGCGTCCGGAGTCAGCTCCTTATTGGTCTAGACGTGTGCTCGTCCCGCAGAAAGCCAATCAGAGCCTCGCTTTTTACCTCAAGGATGTGGAAACGGAAAAGGCTGCTGCCGGTCCCGGGAGTAGGGCGGGGGCGTGAGTGAGTGACAGCTTGACCGCCCAATAGGCAGAGCCCTGAGACCTGCCCCTCTGGCTCCGGGGCTAGAAAAGAGCCTCGATGCCGGCAGCAACGATGACTGGTTGGAGGTGCCTGCCGGGCAGTTCTGACTGTTGGCTGCTGGTGGCCTTTTGCAGGTGAGTGGTTTTGTTTTAGAATGTTACTACCGCCAACGTTTTCATTTTTAAATGATGTGGTATTTTATTTTGGGGCGTGGAGAAAGGCCAGTCCCTTTACTTTCCCAGGTTTAGTCTTTGGTGGGAGTCTGGTGCCCGCTCCACCTCTTAAGCTGGGACCTTTACCTGTCCCCCGGGTCCCTGTCATCCGCTGTTCTCAGAATGAGCCTCTGAGCTCATTCTGCCACCTAAAAGGAGAAAGCCGTCTTACTAGTGGGTTCTTGAGGCAAGAAAAAATAGAAGTTGAAGGGAATGATAAATTGTCTCCTGGACGTCTAGCAGAGCCTGAAGAGTAGTAGGGTTCCCTGGAGGTAATCACGGCTATGCCGCTGTATTTAGGCTGATGTCAGTCTAGCCGCATCATTTTGTGTAAGTAGACAGAAAAAAACTTAAATGCCGTGAAAAGAGAAGGAGGTGAATATATGCACTGGTTTCATGTACCGCTGGAATCTGGAGCCAAATCACAGGTTCTTGGAATCACTAAAGGTACAAAAGTAAGTGTATTTCCCGTAATACACTTTTTCTAAGGGGCAGCGCCTGGTATTACACTAGAGAAGGTCAATAAAAATGCATAATTGAAGTTAGGTTTGCCGTTAAGCTTTGAGGGATAATTGGCTGTTAGATTACTTACTGTAACTCCCACTCCCCTCTTGCCTCTCTTCCAAATTATGGAGGAGTTATAGCTTGTGAGTGGAACTGGAATATTGACTGACTGAATGCAGACCCCTTGGTGGTGGTGGGGGGGAGACAATCAAAACGCTGTGTTTCACATTAGTAGCTACTAAGGTTTTCTACCATGAAAGCAGAACTTGTGTCAGTTTGTCTTTTATTTGTCTCCCCTGAGTCTAGGGTGTAGGTTTTATCCATCTTTGTATTCCTCTAGCGTGTCATACACCGTAGATGCTCCCCAGAGGGCAATGGACTTCAGAGAAGCATAATTGAAACAAATGGCATAGTGGAAGGAGCTCTGAGTTAGAAGTCGGGATGCTTTGGTTTTACTTCTGAAGCTGTTAATATTTGTGTGACCTTAAATGAACCATTTTAACTCTGACTCTTAATTTTTACATCTTTGGAAAGCAAAGGGTGCACTAGATCATTTTCTGAAGTTCATGCCTATTAAAAAGTCTGTTTTAAAATAAAAAGGATTAGACAAAAATTTCATCATAGGTACAGAAGCAGAATCTCTTGCAGTAAATTCTGTATCGATTTGTTAGCAAATAAAAGTTCCAAGCTTCAAGAATATGTTCTTTTGTGTTCATGTTTAAACCAAACCACAGGCTATTGTAGTATTTAGAAGTATAATGTGGCAGAAAGTGTCATCCTTAATCCCTGCCCTCGGAGCCAACCACTGTTAGTTTGGGGTAGATCTTTAATAGTTCTTCTTTCCCTTCTGTACTTGGTTGAGATTAAGAGGCACCTTTTATTTTAAGTAATGATTGATATATCTGTATTTGCCTGTCTTCGTGTGTCTGGTGCCTGGACAGACACAAATGTTTGTACTGAACAGTTTCTTGAAACATCCTTGGAATAAAGTTGGTATGAGGGAATGTTTTGTATGGGGGACAGGGCAAAAAGTAGTGATAACAAAACTCTTTCACTGAAACTTGGCCACAAATTTGGGAAAAACTTTCTTTATAAAATAGGAATTAAATGTTTACCACGTCACTGAAGCATGATTTGCAGAAGATTACTTAGTATTTAGTTTGCTTCTAGGACTGTATTTCACCATCACTCTCTCCCACCACACAGTGTATGATTGATTGATGGATTGCATTCCTCTTGCCAACACTAAATTAAGCTTCTCCTCTCTAACTCTTCCCTTCTTTTTACTTTATTCACAGATTTTGCTTCTATTTATTCATACTATCAGTGTGGTAGGATCGCTTTGGTGATCCTGAAATCTGTGCCATTCTTCATGAATTTATCAAAATCTGGTCCACTGTACTTCTCACTTTTTGTTAGAGCACCTCTCTATAATCTCACTTAATTTTCCTAATAGCTCTTAGGAACCATAATTTCATTATCCTCATCGTTATGGATATTGAACCTGAGATCCAAACAACTTAAATAACTTTTTCAAGACCACATTTTTAATAAACAGCAGAGCTGAGTTCATATCCAGGTCTTTTTACCTTAAACCTTTAGGGTTTGGTGGAAAGAGTTTGTGTTGACAAAAGCTATTACCCCAAGGAAGTAAAAGACCAGAGATAGGAAGAAGGTGTTATGAGTGGGTGTTGTGCAAGGTGGTGATGCCAGGCAGACTGGAACAAGCAACGTGACCTAAGAAAATACACATTTCATTATACGTGTATATCTTTTCCCTGTAAGAGTCTACGTGGTATGGTTTGTTACTGTTGTGATCAGTAGGGTATATTAGTAGATTAGCAGATGTAAATTTGGAGAATGAAAGGATTATAATGTCTAGAAAACACTCCAGAGTGGTTGAGTTTGCTCCTGGTAAAAAGATGTTCTGACTGCAAATACAAATGGAAAAGTTACTATAACACTTTAGGAGAAGTGATAGACTATGGAATACTAGATACTTTTGGGTGCAGTCATGTTTGCCCTTTATGTTCAACTAAAAACTGTGAAGAACTGAGCCCCAGATTTCAGTTCTCTTGAGAACTGTTCCTTTTTAATTTGTCTGAGACATAGCCAACCCTCTTTTCCTACGACCTCAAACATAGTCCATTTTCTCTAAAGTTAAATTCCCAATGCAATAGTTGGGAAAAGTTTAAAAGTTGCTTAAAACTGTGTGATGAGAATCTGCACAAGGAAAATACTGTGTGGTCTAGTGTAGAAAATATATAAGTGTAACTCTGGATCAAAGGGACCCTGGTTCTACGTCCCATATTTTACAGTACTTCCACGTGATAGAGTTCAAATTTCTGGTTCAGTTTTTGGAAATGGAAGAAAAACTAAGCTTTTAGAACTTTATTTGACTTGTTAGAACTGTAATTTGACCTACCTGCTCATGAGTTAAGCGACTAGAGTCATAGACATTATTTTTTCAAACACATAAGGAAAGGATGAAGCAGAGTCCCAGGAGTGTTAGTTTGGAAGACAAGATGAGCCTCAGTTATGGGGGAGTTATGACAGGGGAGCCTCAGTTATGAAGGAAATATAATGATACAAAATTATATTTCACCCAATTTCATATGTGAAATTATATGGTCTAATGAAGAGCAGGAATGGGAAGCGGCAGAAAGATATTCCTGCTATATTTGTTGAAACTACTTAGAGATTCCAAAAATATTAGAGATGTAACATCAGAAAATGCAGTGCCTTGGCATTTTCCCCCAGTTTTCCCTCTGTGTTCCTTCCTGGCCAAAAGAATGGCCACCTTGAAACATAACTTTAATTTTATGGTGGCATTCATTGAAAGAATATTTTTTACTTGATAGCTAAGTTAGGTAGAATTCCAATACCTAATAGTGAAAGGTCTTTGAAAGTCATAAGTCACCTGTGAAGTGTGTTCTTCGAGTCACCTGTTTGTTTATTGTCAAGGCAATCGCATACCTCTACTCCAAGTATGCATTCACTGAAATGTAGGCACTGTGAAAGAATTTCTGAAGATGTCTAATAGGAGTAAAGTGTGTCATAATGACAGATTATATTTTTGAAGGAGGGTAACAGGAATCACTTTTTATCTGTATTTCTCTGAATTCATTTCTAAATAACTCAAAAGTCAGATTTTTAGACTGACTTAAATGTGCTCAGTATTATATTCTATGTCGAATGAAAACACTTTTAAATGGGATTCCATTCCTCAAGGTCCTTGCAGTTCTGGCCAAGATTAAAATCTGTGGGTTTTATTTGGATTATCTCTGACAGTTGTGTTTGTTTAAATGTTAAAATGCTAATGTGTTTAGTAGATCTGAGCTTGGGATCCAGCTAGGTCAACTATTGGCATAGGAAGGTTTCTGCCCTACTACCTGTTTTTGAATAGCCCACAAACTATGATTGGTTTTTATATTTTAAGTGGTTGAGATAAATGGTTGAAATAATAATATTTCATGTCTATGTAAATTATATGAAATTCTAATGTCAGGGTCCACACATAAAGTTTTATTAGAACACAGTCACATTTATTCATTTATGTCTTGTCAGTGACTCAGCCACAATGGCAGAATTACACAACTGTACGTAATTATAGTAGAGAACATGTAGCTCACAAACCCTGAAAAGTTTATTTGGTCTTTTACAGAAGAAGTTGCTAATGGCTGAGGTAGAGTTAGAGTGTCTTTTATGTGGCTCTCCTTCATTTTAACAGCCAATATCCTGGTCAGGTCTTCATTGTATGTTCAAAATTATTACAAAAACTCCCAGCTAGTATTTGTACCTGTGGTTTTCCCCATCTCTCTCTGTATATGTAAGTACTGCCTGAGCGTCTCAAATTCATATTATTAAACCTTTAATGATTTCCTATGTTTGTAGCAAAAACTACATTCTTTGGGACAAGGCCCTTCTCAGGCCACTATTATGTCTTATCTTCTTAGGCTAGTCTCCTCCTACTTCCTTGTTACATTGTATACTTAGAATGACCATATAATTTTCCACATGGGACACTTAAGTGTGAAAGGAGCCCTAATAATAATTACGATGGGGACACAAGCCTAAAGCCGTACTGTTCTAATGAGGCAAATGTACCATTTCCTTATCTACCTGCTCTGTCCCTGCTTTGTCAAGAGAATGCTAATCATGAAACATACCTTCAATGTTTATGGTGGAATTTATTGAACAGTTTTTTCCTTTTTATGGCAAATCAGACAAATGAGGATATGTGGTCACCCTACCTATATCCAAGCCAGTTTGAATGGGCTCACCATTCTCTATAAGCACTTGGTCCTTGGACTCCACTCAACTGTTCTTTTATGCTGGAATTCCTTTTCCTTTTTCTGTAAATCTAAATCTTAAATGTCTTTCCAGATCCAGTTTAAATAGTGCAGTGTCCACGAAGCCCTACTCAGAAGTAATCTCTCTTTTCCTGTCTCCATTTTATAAAAGAAGTGCTTTCCATGGTGTGAATTACCTTGAGCTTTAGTGACACACACAAATGTGTACACATCACCTTTCCCCCTAGTTTTTGATGACATAATCCATGTTGGATTCCCTATTCCTCGCAGGCCTAGCATGGTGCCATGCCTAAATGCTATTTGCAACACCGGTTTGAAGAATGAATTAATTGATCAGGCTGGGGAGACTAGTGAGTGTTTAGGGCTTTCACTTTATGAATCACCCATTTTAATGTGAAGTAGTGAGGAAAGGGTTTCCAAGGACTGAGGACAGAGCTTGGGTTTCAGTGTGGCAGTGTGAGAGAATGGTCCAAGGCACAGGTATGGGCTTTGGGGTCTAGTCTGTCTGAGGTTGAATTCCAGCTCTGCCAGTTAGAACCTGTGTTACCTTAGGCAAGGTGACCTCTCCTGCTTCTGCATCCGTGAAATGGGTGTAATCACAGTCCCTACTTCATGGAACAGTGGTTGAGGATCCAAACAGGGCCAAGAACATGGCAAGCACCCAGGGAATGTCAATTGCTGTGGCTAACACCATCATCATCATAGTACAGTACAGGTGGTTAAGAAAATGCAGAGAACCAAAACCATGATGGACAGTAGAAGAGCTAGAGGAAATGCAGCACCAAGATCTTTGTGTATTTTTTTTTCATCTTTTCATAGAAGTAGTCAGCTTTAGATGGGTCAAAGCAGAGTGAGTCCTGAGAGAAGGTGATCTCCACTTAGTTAAAATAACTAATCTAGCTCTTTCAAAGACTATTTCAGTAGAGTGGGAGAGGTACAAGTAGGTGTCAGGGAACTAAAAAAGTAATGGCCAGAAGGAAATAAAAATGGTGAAAGAGAAGGAGGCTGAGATAAAGAGTCGTGCAAAACCAGATCATACTTTAAAGAAGAAGAAACCCAAGGGAATGATAATTCAGTAACCGTTGTGTCCCTTTTTATGTTATAAGGTAAATTATTGATTAAAACTAGTACTTGATTAAAGTGCCAGTAATTTTTGTTGCGGGATAAATGAGGAACCTTAAGAACCAAGTGCAGGGTCCTAGGTTTTACCAAAAGCAAACTGAAACACCAAAGCTTTACATTTTAAGAAGAATAGTTCCTAATTAGGGGTGAGGAGTATAGATTCTTGGTAAGTTTCCTCCTCTAAGTTTGGGTGACGGCTGTCTGACTTGACTTTGCGCCCTGACGTATTTCCCAAGTGCAGTACTGAGCAGAGCCCTCCTCTATGCTCACCTCGTCTGTTCGTGTTTTATGAAATGGCTGCCTGGGTTTAGAAGGACAAGTTGGGACTGGAGATGCTCCTGTGAAGTCAAGCCAAGGCAGCCCGGGCCCTCAAACCACGACTCTACGATCTGCGGTCCTAAGACCTGGGTTGCAGTCCCAGTCTGCCATATAGTGGCCACGTATTTTTAAACAAGTCAATGGGTCAGAATCCTGTTTCCTCTGTGCAGATAATGGCCGTCCATGAACGTACTAAACTCACACAACAAAAGTACAGGGCGCAGAACTATAGTGGATAATTGTTCTTGGCCCCTGCTTATTCTTAAATGCATGGGGACTCTTTGAGTCAATGTTCCCTAACATCTTGACCTTGACAACTGACTTTGTTACTTAGGCAATTACCCCTAAAACTGTGGGCTCATTAGGACAATCTAATTATTTCTGTCTGACTTTGATTCAGTCAGCACACCTGCCCGGTGCCTTGTAAGTGTCACGTGGCATGCTAGAGATACATCAGGAAGACCCTCCTCAGTGTAGCTGCCCGCCTAACAAGGCGCGTAAACACTGAACAGATAATCTGCATAAGTCATCACAGGTCCACCAGATGTGTGAAAGCGGGGGCTGACCTACTTTCCACTGGGGGAAGAGACAGGGCAGAAAGTGTGCCTGGAGCAGAGGTTCTCAATGTGGTCCTCAGACCAGCAGGGCCAGCATCAGTGGGGAACTTGCTGGAAATGCAGATTCCAGGCCTCCCTTAGACCTCCTAAATCTAGCTCTGGAAAGAGGCCTCGCCATCTGTTTTAATTACGTTAATCTGTTCAGTGTGATTTGTAGCACATTAAAGTTTGAGAACCGCTGGCCTGCAAGAAGTAACACTACGCTGAGCTCTAAAGTTGCCCTATCCAGTGTGGTAGCAGATGGTCGCATGTGGCTGTGGAGTACTTGAGATGTGGCTAGTCTATATTGAGGTGTACTTTCAGTATAAAATACCAGGTTCCTTGGCAGCCTGTATACTAAAATTGGAACATTACAGAGAAGATTGGCGTGGCCCCTGCACAAGGGTGACATGCAAATTTGTGACGTGCTCCATATTTACAAAAAAATCAATAAATACCAGGTTCCAAAGGCTTCCTGTGAAAAAATTAAAAAACATAAAATGCCTCATCAGTAATTTTTAATATGGATCACATGTCAGGATGATAGTATTTTGGACCATAGGATTAAATAAAATAGGTTATTAAAATTAATTCCACCTACTTCCTTTTACTTTTTAATGTGGCTTTTAGAAAATCCAGAATTACATTTGTGGCTTGCTTTATATCTTCAGTGGACACAGCTTCTCTGAAGGATGACTGGTGGTTACCTAAAGCAGGGTGGACTGAAGTGGCGGTGGAGGGGAGGAGGTGGTGGGCGAGTATCCCAGGTAGGATACAGTATGTGCACAACTACTGATGCCAGAAAGAACCTGTCATGCTCAAGGAAATAAAAACAAAGCTCTGCAGGTCACCTTAAGGATGTTGAATTTTATCCTAAGATCAACAGGAAGAATTGAGCATCTTTAAATAAGATGCTCAGTAAGTTTGCCACAAATCAGTGAGCAAAGGAGCTACAGCTGAGTACAACAAGACTCTCAGGATCAAAGCTCCCCCACTCCAAGATGGTGAAGGAGGGGTCATTTGGTCTGGAGGTACCATTGAGGGGGAGCAGAACCTTGCCTAGCACCTGACCTTGACCCTGTGTGTGAGGCAAGAGCACATCCTCACTAGTGAGAGAAGTGTGTCACTTGGGAAGAGGGAGTCTTCAGTTCATTTTCAGCTCATTGAACCTCAAAGCTGAGTGGGAGTTTGTTTACAAAGCTGGGAACTCTGCAAGGCATTCAGAAGGGTGTGGTGAAGGAGGGCTGTAAGAGTGGGTCAGCGAGAAGAAAGCTCAGAGCATTGTGGAGATTACAGAGTCTGTCCCTTGACAGGGGGTGTTGGACAGTAACACAGAAAAGCTGGGAGAAGAGGAGTGGGGATGGGTTCTGACTATGTCTTGGGGTCTGGTGAACTCGCCATTCACCTGCTCGTAAGCTGCCAGAGACACAATTCAGCCTGCAGACATGTTTTGTTCAGCTCATATTTGATACATGTATTTGTATTAGTTGTCAATATTTAAATCAGATATCACATAAAAATGTATATTTCTAGGGTTTGGGATTTTTTTTTTTTTTGAAAATTGAAAGTTCTTGAAACCCCAGTTTCTCAGCATCACAGGGCATGGGCTAGAACTAAATAGTAGGTACTTCTTTTATTTTATGTAACAATTTTTAGGGCCTGATTGTTTTAGTTTTTTTTTAAGATACTTCTTCACTCACAGAATCCACAGGTTCTCTCTAGCCTGCCTCTAGGTCTTGAGTTTGCTATCCAAGCCTTAACCTTTAAATCAAACTGACTACAGTGTTGTGTGGTTGTTGGTAAACCAGTTCCAGTAGATGCTGACTGAAATGTAAGTTTGTGAACTTCAGACCTCAGCAGCTCCTTCGTAAATACAGTAGAACCTCCCTACATCCACCAATGCCCTAAGTTAATTTTCATAGACTGAACATACACCACACATACATATCAGTACGGTGGGCATGGTTTCTTATGTTGACCAGTTTGTTACAATCCCTTGGAGGGTCAACTTACAGAGGTCTACTGTATTTAGCAATTAATTAAATGGGAAAAGTCAGTTTGATAGTACCAAGAAGAAGAGAGTGACTTTGTTTTTTTAACCCAAGATAAACACACTAGTTTGGTACTTTATCCAGTATTCACCTGAGTGAATATATTCTTATACATCCGAATGAGGGAACAGTGTGTATTTGTGTAGTTTTTGTGGCTGTGGTACTATTCCTCTGCTCCAGTATACATATTTTGAGTAAAAAGAAAACAAATTGTTCATTATTTTTTAAGCAAAGTAAGCAAATATAGCAGATTGATGCTACAGAGGCTTGGTGGTGGGTATCTCTGTGTTCATGTTGTTGCTGTATTTTTTTGGTTCCCTTGGTATCTTCATAATCAAAAGATGATGGAGAAGTGTCTCTGCCTACACAGTTTGTTCCCTATGCCTTTCTTTTTTGAAGTCAAAAATAGCTTTCTTAGCCTGTGGAGCCTTCTTGCTGGACAAGATAAACTTGTAGGGGGATAGCTGATAGCTTGCTTCTTGTTTCTCCACACCCCTCCTCCACTACCACCCAAAACAAAAAAAAAGAAAGAAAGAAAGAAAAGAAGTAAAGCAATATGTGGTTACAAAGGGTATCCAGTTTTTGATGGGCCTGAATCTTCTACTACTTGGTAGACTGGGTATTTATAAAGAAATAATAGAAAACTCTCTTTCTTTTGCAGATTAAACACACACACACACCCTTCTCTCCATGCAAGTTCTCCCAGGAGGGGGACCCTGGAGCTGAAGCTTTATTTCATTAGCCTCATGATTATTCCGCTCCTGGGCAAAACACTGCCCAGATACACCTTATCCCCTTCTCTGTTCTTCTGTTGCCCAGATGCCTCTCATAGGCTGAGGGTAGAGACATCATGCTCCCTCGCTGGGAATTATTAGCTCTGGGAGATACCGTCACGTGAGCCCTGAGCCCAGGCACGTCAAGGGTTCCCTGGTGCTTCCCTGTTCCATATACCCTGAAGCTTCAAGCCTGATGCTTGATGAAAAGGGAGTATGGTAACTGCTATAGTCTTTCGACTATAGTCACTCACCACATGATGGTGTTTTAGTCAATAATGGATCACCTATGTGTTGGTGGTCCCATGGAATTATAATGGCACATATATACTTGACCCTGGCGTTGCAGATCAATTAGGGGAAATGATTGTATTCAGTGATGGTGCTGGGGCATTTGATTTTTCACATATAAAAATATAAATAGAAATATGTATGCCATCTAGGTTAGGGTAAGTATATTGTAATGTTCATACAACAAAATTGCCTAAGGACACATTTCTCAGAATATATCCCCCTCCTTAAGTGATGCATGACTTCTTACAGACCATCTTGGTCTGATTTCCTTCCTTCCATATATATATATAAAAGACTTTTCCCTTTAGACTCTCTAGGAATCACTAAAAAAAGGTAGAAACTAGCTCTAGATTCCAGTTAACTTTGTCACTGATAGTTATATAACTGTCATGAATCACACAGAATGTACTATCAGCTGACTTTTTTCATCTAACTGCTGAATATTTATAAAGGATCTGTTGAGGTTTCAAGTGGAACAGAAAATCCCCAGTTAATGGAAGTTGCCAACAGTGGCAGGAGACAAGGCCCCAGTGCTCATAGAATCTTGACTCCCCTATGTGGAGGTGGAGACCCCGGGCAAGGAAACTGAACAACACTTGCCAGTATAAACGTGTCCACCACAGGGCGGTCAGGCCCTCAGGTCTCCCAAGGCACAGTGGCCCCAGCAGATTTTTGGCCGGTAGCTTAAATAGGAGGAGTTCAGAATTGCTTGAGGGGTGCCTGTCCCACCGCACTAGATTCTGTTAACGGGAGGCTGGTGTGTGGGGGATGCCTGAAGGTCTGGGCAGGAGGAGGCAGGCCTCCTTATCAGTGTGCTTCCTCTCACTCCCACGGCCTTGCGCCCGTTAATCTGTTTCCACAGGCAGCATCTCTCAGCTGCTCCCAGTTGATAGCTTGTTTTGCACCCGGATTTATTCCTGCTAAAAGCTGTATTTTGGAGCAGGTGAGAAATTATTTAGGTGAGTACTATATTTGGTTTTAATGTCACTTTAAATCACTTTTAATGCTATTTGAATGTTAACACCTCCCCCCATCTTGCATACCTTAGAATTTTCTTGTTTGTATTGTAGCCTGTGGCATTGAAGAGCTAGTTGTGATACATACCAAATACATGTGGCGGTTCATTGAGTTAACATGTTTAGCAGTGTCAGTAACAAGAATGTGAGACTGGTAAATATTTCTTTTTCCATCAGAGGAAAACGAAGTGAGATTCAGCTGCAAAAACTGGGAAAACAGGTCCTAATCATTCTTGTAAATATCTATAACTCATCCTACTACACTCTTTAAGCATACAATGACCTTTGATCTGCCGGAATCGCAGCATGCCATTAAAATGAAGTATTCTGTTATTTTACGTCATACAATTAACATACTATGCAGCCGTCATAAAATTTAAGTCAACTACATTCCTTGTAATTAATTATCTGTAGAATATACCTGTATGTGCCATAGTGTGTGAGTTACCAGATATCTGATGTCAAAATTCTTCAAAAGGATTTCAGTTTATATTAGAAATGGGATGTTTTAACATTGTGCTTCCATTTCCAGGTAGTCAGGTGAATGAGTATTGTAACTTAAACTTTTTGTTTCTTCTCTAGATGTATTACTGTCCTTGAACATTAGCCAATTTGAAAACACCAACGAAGCTCAGACATCAGTATGTCCAAGTACAAACTTATTATGTTAAGACATGGAGAGGGTGCTTGGAATAAGGAGAATCGTTTCTGTAGCTGGGTGGATCAGAAACTTAACAGTGACGGAATGGAGGAAGCTCGGAACTGTGGGAAGCAACTCAAAGCACTAAACTTTGAGTTTGATTGTGTATTCACATCTGTCCTTAATCGGTCCATCCACACGGCCTGGCTGATCCTGGAAGAGCTGGGGCAGGAATGGGTTCCTGTGGAAAGCTCCTGGCGTTTAAATGAACGCCACTATGGAGCTCTGATTGGTCTCAACAGGGAGCAGATGGCTTTGAATCATGGTGAAGAACAAGTGAGGCTCTGGAGAAGAAGCTACAATGTGACCCCGCCTCCCATAGAGGAGTCTCATCCTTACTACCATGAAATCTACAGTGACCGGAGGTATAAAGTGTGTGATGTACCCCTGGATCAGCTGCCAAAATCTGAAAGCTTAAAGGATGTTCTGGAAAGACTCCTTCCCTATTGGAATGAAAGGATTGCTCCTGAAGTTTTAAGTGGTAAAACCGTTCTGATATCTGCTCATGGAAATAGCAGTAGAGCACTTCTGAAACATCTAGAAGGTACCAGCTTTATGTACTACTTATTAGAGATCGCTGAGTATTATAGTCGGACCTTAATCTGGAAATTAAGGTCATAATGCACCATTTACATAACAGACTTTTCCCATTCCCCTTTGTCACTTCAGACTTAAGAATCATCTTGGTATAAAAACTCCTGTGTCTTTTCCATTGGTATTATCTGAAGCAGCACTTTTCAGACCTCAGCGGGCATCAGAGAGCTCGGTATGACACAGATTTGTGGGCCCACCATCAGAGTTTCCAAATCAGCCTTAGAATTTGTTTTTCTTAGATGTTTTCTGGTGATGCTCATATTCCTGCTTGGGGTTCTGCACTTGGAGAAACACTGGTTGTCAAGACTGTATGGCTTTAGTTGTCAGACAGTGAAAGGGAGCTAGGAAGGGAAAGAATCGTGGAAATGGTGTTGAAAATAAATTTGAGTTTTTTAAGTTGAGTACATTAGTAGACTTCAGTTTTGCCCACTTTCTCCCAGCTTTAAATGACTGCTGTGTTTCACCTAGGCTTCCTGAGCAGTTCTTGTGCTCCAGTCCTCTCTTTCCAGACCAGGCTTAGCCACTAATGGTAAGAAAGTTAGGGAGAAAAAAAATAAAAGGATAGTTGGCTTATTTACTTATCTTGACTCTAAAATTTTGTAGCTCATCAGTAGCCTTAATTTTATTTCAATTACTTGATACTGTGTTCTGGATGTATCCTAAAATGTAGTGTATTCTTCTTCTGAAGTAAAATGAACTCAATGAACTCTTGTGAGGACTCGAGCTTACCAGTTTGAGTGCCAGTCTGCACTGTGGCACCTTCTGGGGGTTTCTCGCTCCCCTCTTTTCCTTCATTAATCCCAGATGGTTGTGCTTTTTGAGTCATCTGCCCTGTCTGGTGTTTTCCTGCCTTTGATCACTGTCAGCATTTGGCTTACTAAATAGAAGGCATTTCTCCGTCATTCCATTTCATTCTGCTTTACTTTTCTGTAAGAGGCTGTGAAAAATGAAAATTTCGACCTTGTATGTGAAATAGGTTATTGCTAACAAAATGATCTTTAGCGTGTGATTATTTTTCCCTAATTTTTATATGGAAAGGCCAAGGGCCAAATCATTACTCATATAGCTGACATCCATTAATCATGTAGAGATCTAAAATCCACAGACTTTGTTTGACTATTAAAAACTTTATTGGCTAGACATGGCGCTAGATTATGTGGGTGTATATATCTTACTCGGCTACATAAAACAATCTATTCTTCCGTGTTCAGAATAATCAGATATTTGATCAAAAGATACACAATTCTGTCACTGTTTGAAGAAGTATGAGGCTGCTATTAGAACAACAACAAATGGAAATTAAGAATTTCAAAGTTTCTGTCAGAAGATAAATTCTATTTGACCATGCCAACTCTTTTCCAGAGATGAGATTTAGATCTCGTTGTGGCCGGGCTCTCTTTCCTAATGAAAATGCCACAGTCTCCTTCTGGATCCCCTCCAGCCCATCGCCTTAGCTAGGAAGTCCTCCCTTTAAAAGCAGTTTCCTGTTGTTAGTACTGTTTGCCCTTCACCTGTCTTCCAGTTTAGCTCTCCTTGAGATTATCCCACAGCACCAGACACAGCACACTCTAGACAACCTCTCCCCAAGTGTATTGATGATCTAACTATTTGTTAATGTTCTTTTTGAGGGAAAGAGGAAGAAAGTTTGAGAAATGGTAGAAGACTGTCACTGTAGTAGGAGCAGAGAGAGAACTACATGTTGAGAATGAGTTTAGACAGAAAAGGTTAATTTGCTACATTTGAGGAAGGTTTTGAAAGCATTAATAATTTATTAAAAAATAATCCAATGGTATACCTGCTGCTTTTTGTTGTTGTTGTTGGGGATTCATTGAGAGTACAAGAAACCAGGTTACACTGATTGCATTTGTTAGGTAAGGTCCCTCTTACAATTGTGCCTTGCCCCCAAAAGTTGTGTCACACACCGAGACCCACCCCCAGTATACCTGCTTCTTTAAACAACCTGGCAGTTACTCTAACGGGTTGAAAATAGAGTTATCATATGATTCATTCTTAGGTATAAATTTGTGTTTATTTTTTAATACTGGTGTAAGAAATTACAGAAATTTATTTTCTGGGGGATGGAAGCCCTAAATTAAGGTGTCAGAGGGTTTGTTCTCTGATGGCTGTGGGAGAGAAGTCTTCCTTGCCTCTCCTAGCTTCTGGTATTTGCGGCAATCTTTGGTGTTCCTTGGTTTATAGAAGCATCGTTCTAGTCCTCCAACTTCACATGACATTCTCCTGTGTGTATGTTTCTTGTACTGGATTTTTCTCTCTCTTATAAGAATACCAATTATTGAATTAGGGCCTACACCACTGATCTCATTTTTACTTGATTGTCTGTGATAAAGATAATTTCAAAATAAAGTTGCTTTCTGAGGTACTGGAGTTTGGAACTTCAACTTACCTTTTATCAATTCAACTTGCAAACTACCCACAAGAGGGAGGCACCCGTGGCTTAAAGGAGTAGGGCTCCGGCCGCATATGCCAGAGGTGGCGGGTTCAAACCCAGCCCGGCCAAAAACAAACAAACAAAAAAACTACCCAAGAGAAGTGAAAGGGTATTTTCACATAAAAACTTACACACAAACCTTCATAGCAGCATTATTTTTAATAGCCAAAAGATGGAAGCAACCTAAGTGTCCATCAGCTAATGAATGGATAAATTAAATGTGGTAAGTCCATACAATGAAATATTATTTGGCAATAAAAAGGAATGAGGTACTGATACATAATACAGTGTGGATGAACCTTGAAATCATGTTACATGAAAAAAGCCAGTCACAGTGGAGCACGTATTATAGGATTCCAATTATGTACAATGTCCAGAATAGGCACATCAGTAGAGACAGAAAACATAACAGTTGTTACCTAACACAGGGATGGGGGGAGATTGAGAGTGGTAATTGCAAATGGGTACAGGGTTTCTTGTTGGGGTGATAGCTGCTCAACTCTATGAATATACTAAAAGTCATTGAATCGTACACTTTAAATGGATGAATTGTATGTGAATTATATCTCATTAAAGCTTCAGAACATTTACTAAATAGAATTGAAAGGTTAAACTATTTGTCATTGTTGACCTAGAAAGTAATAGTTTAGGGCAAATATGTGGAAGTGACCACAAAGCAGAAATGCACAGATGTGGAATGTAGAATAAGGAGATAAATGAAAATGCAGCTTTGTCCCCTGGGACAGAAGAGGACTTACAGGACAGGCCGAGAAATGAGCAAGTATTGGTCCTCAGGCTGCTTCCAGCCCTTCATCTGAAGGTCTTTTCTTAAGTTGGATGTATGAAACTAAATGACCTTCCAGAGATTGATGAAATTAAAGTAGCCTTACATTGTAACTAACTCCTATCTCTGTCACCACAAAGAGGCTTTATGGAAACGTTTTATTTAGGGGATAGTTGATGTCAAACAATAGGGTTGGTGTGGAAAGAGGCAGATTGTAGGAATTGACTGGGGTAGCAAGTCTATGACATGGACAAAGGCACAGAGCTGGAAAATGATGTCTGTGGGAGAAGGGAGTATATGTGAACTAGGTAGAGAAGGGAAATGGAGAGTTGGTGACCAGGGAGGGTGGCGGACATTCAGGGGGAGAAAATGGCAGAAAAGCCAGAACATGTAGTTGGGCATAAACCCATAGTCCAGGAACCAAATGGAGTGGATGTAACGACTGATACCTGCCTGCAGGAAGATAAAGGGTGATTTGTGATCCTGGCTCACCCCACCTGGCTAGAACAACCTTGTTCCTTTCTGGCCTATAGTAGCCTAGTGCTGCTGTTAAGATTCATGTAGTTCTTACGTGTTGCTATCCTACCGTGACTTAACTCCAGTGCCTAAAATGGAAGAAATTATGTCTGGCTTGAGTTTTAGGATCACTTCATAAATTAGTTCTCTCTTCTCTTAGGGGTCCTCTAACTGCCAGTCTGTATTAATAAAGTTTCTCTTACAATGTATGTTGGAAATTAAGGTCCAAGTATTCTATATCATGGCTGTGAGAATTAAACATAAGTGACTTTCTCAACATCAGAAGAAATAATATGTGCTATTTTTTCCACATTATTTTTCCTATCCAGGCTTCTTAGCATCTGAGATGAGACTGGACGTGTTCAGGGTGGTATGACCACAGATCCACGTCATTTCTGTTAACTTAGTGAGATTTTAGCCCTTTTGAAACTTATTATAGATGTATCTGCTCACCAGAATAATTGAGTTAGTCCTGTTGTCTTGCATGTCTAACTTTCAACAGCTCAAGTTATGAGGTTCCATGTGGTACCTGATAAATCCCTGGTCTAATAGAAAACGTTTCATTGAATTTACATGCTATCTTTTTAAGACTCCAAAAATTAAGCGAATCTCCCTTACTTTAGGGAAAATAAACATTTTCTTCTTGTGGGAAGAGCTGCTTGCTATTTGTGTATATGGTTTTATTTTGGTAAAAAATATATATCATAAAATGTACCCCTTAATTAATAATTTATGTTTACTATGAAGTTATATGACCATACACCCCACTGTTTGGTTAATACCTGTTGTCCCAGTGCAGTTATTAATAGCACCTCCCTTTGCTTTTACATCTCCTTTTACTGGAAGTGCCCAGCTTGGATGATAAATTATGTGGTTACCTTACTTTCAAGATGATAGCTTTCACTAGTATTAAGAATTAATACCAGAAATGGTTGTGACCAGAGTTCCATATTTCCTATAAACACAAAAGTTGCTAAATCTCTTTATGTTGATTGTAAGAGCAAAAATGCTTGTGGTTGTAAAGTCATCTGATTTCTAGTCATGTTTTCTAGAAATGTTTATATAAAATTCTCCCCTATAAAATGGGCTCTTTCAAGGAAGTGGGGTGATTTTTCCCCCCCATCTCATCCTTCAACTGCTCAACAAACTTCAAGTGTTTTACCTACTGCTGGGATAGAGCATGGCAAGGGATAGAATCAAT